AGATTCATTTGAAAAACTTATTTCATATTTATAAGAATGAATATTATTTCAGATCTATGAGATTTATCTTTTTATCAGTCATCTATAATAACTTCACTTTTTCATGTAGAAATACAGCAGATCTTAAGACTTATTAAAATTCTGTTAACTGTCTGTCTATAAGTTCACATTTGATCTGATAATATAATTGTATCTGACTTAGTCAGCTGATTACAGTATCATTTTTTTAATTGTTATTAAAGCTTAATAACTTTAGCAGATCTTCTGACTTGATATATTTCATACTCAGATTCTTATTCTACACAGTGATCTCTGATAATATATACACTTCTGAAGAGATTGTGAATAATTATAATAAGATCTTCAGATTTAGTGTAGTCATCTATCTGTATAAATATTCAATCATTCACTGCAGATCTAAGATCTGATTTTCTTTATTCTTATTAATAATGATAATTGCATCAGTAAAGCTTTTCATAGTGAATACTTAATCTGCAGTGAATGCTAATTGTTATTTGACTTCTATCTCAGTCTGTCACTGTGTATACAAGACCTCAATCTCATTTAAAATTCTCATATATGTACAGAGCTTTGATTTCAGTTCAGTGATCTCAGTCACTTTTCTTACTATTTTAAATAAATTCTCTAAGAGATTCTGCATATCTTTCAGTTCAGATAGCAGAGAAGAGTGTTATTCATATTAACTAGAGAAGATATTCATTTCAGTGATTTCTTATTAATTGTATAATATCTATTATTATATCACTGTATTATTATATTACTATATTATTATATCACTATATTATTATATAATTTCTGTTATTATTGTATAACTTCAGTGATAATCATCTTCTTCTTTTATCTCTTTGAGTGAAGAGTGATCTTCTTTGAATCTGATTCATTACATTCATCTCTTTTCTCACATCTCATCTGTTTGCCTACATGGCATTTATCTGAGTGTGAAGTTTTTTCTCACTAAGTGAAGCAGTATTAATTAAATACTCTTCTACTCATCACTCTTTATATACTATCTTTTGAGACATTCTAGAATTACACTGATATGATAACTATGAATTACTTTATAGATGAAATTATCATGCTCTGAAGAAGTCTGTACTTCTCACCAGTTTTTAGACATGCTATCAGATGTGATTCAAAGATTGCTTGAGTCGGAGTATGATTACAGATGTACACCAGCTTCTTATATATTATAATATTATATGCTAAATTAATTAGTGGCCGCTATGACCCCTCTTTACACTCGTACGCTAGTAGTTCGGAAGCAGCCGCGTTATTATCCGACGGTCGTACGTTCTTCCTAACCACCGTACGTTCTTCCGAACCACAATGTCAAGAATGAGTAGACTGGCTGCCAGAACTATGAATTTTACATTTGATTTTATTTAATCTAGTCTTATACATTTCTTGGCATGAATCTCACTGAGACTAATTATTAAAAAAACATGCAAAGTGACTATATATCAAATCTTAAAATGAGATCATGACTTAGAAAAACTAAGAAAGTAATCTCATTTAATCTCATTTAGTCTTATTCTTAATATAAAGTTACTATTTTTATACATTTTAAGGTTTTCTTTAGCCTATTTTTAATTTTTTAAAAAGTAACACTTTTTGATAATACTTAAATGAGATTTAAAGTCATTTAAAGTAATAAAAATAATTTAAATTAAGAAGTGAAAATCATGATCTTTTTTGAAAAATGTAATAAGAGTAGACAGTAAGTCTTACTGAAACAGTATAAGACTACTATATAATCTTAAAACTGTGTAATGAAATCAGTTAAATTAGTAATAAGACTATTAAATATTCTGATTCTGGTCTCAGACACGGTTACACAGTCAGTCTAAGAATAAGACTAAATGAAATTACATGAGATTACTTTCTTATTTTTTCTAAGTCATAATCTCATTTTGAGATTTGATATATAGTCACTTTGCATGTTTTTTTAATAATTAGTCTCAGCAGAATTCATATCAAGAAACGTATAAGATCAGATCAAATGAAATTAAATATGAAATTCATAGTCTCAGCGGCCAGTCTATTAGAGGCAAAGCTAACAGTAGTAGTAGAATTTTTCACAAAGATCTCTTCTCTCTTATGACACATTTTTCTCCTCTCTCTCTCATTTGTAATAGTAAGTGCATGAGAGTATTGTAGTTGAAAGATAATAAGAGCCTTATTCTGATACTTTCTAATAATTAAATGTCTTCATAATATGACTGCAGCCTTCATGACTGTTAAGAAAGTCAGGTTGAAGATGAAGACAGTAATGTTAAAAATTATAAGAGTACTGCTCTTATTATTACATCTTCTTCTTCTTCTTCTTCTTCTGCTGCTCTTGCAGTTACAGTGATAGAAGTCATGTCTTATAGTGAGATATCATCTCTTCTACTGATCAGTTTATCAGTGATCAGTTCTTCTTCTATCTCTCTCACTACTGCTGTGACACTGTTCTTTCTCTCAATTAACATAGTGATGTATAATCTCATGTGATTATTTAGAGAGAATCTCAGAGAGAGCTTGATTTGACAAACAGTATCTCTGAGAAGTTCAATCTGTAGTTTTTCTTTTGTAATATATCTGAGCTCTGCTTGAGATGCTACTGAGTTAAGTCTGCAGAGTCTTATAGTTTCTTTATCTTCTCTCTGTAAAGAGGCTCTGATACAGTCTTTAACTGATACTGTTACTTATCTATACTGTACTAAGCAGCTGAAGAAAAAGAGAATCTTGTGTATCTATCTCTTCTCTCACTCTTATTATTTGTGTTATATCTATAACAATGACTTCTATCTTTCTATAAGTATTATCTTATAACAAAATGTCATATCAGTTCTGATAAGAAGCTCAGATGCTTAAGAAGTACAGAGTAAGAATCTTAAAGCTTTAAGTATTAATAAATTCTGTCAAGACTGAGAAGATCTCTCTTACTCATTTATAAAAGAAGATGAAAGTATAGATCTCTAAGATAAAAAAACACCTCAGAATAACTAATCTTAAGAAGAAGAGATCAGCTGGCACTGCTATTAAAAGCATTACAGAGACTAATTACTGATTAAAGAGAATCTTTCTTCAATTGAAACAGATAACTGAGATACTGTGTAAATTGATAAGTTAATACTTCATGTATATCTTATACTCTTCTACAGTATACTCTTCTGTAGTGCTGCAGTGCTAACTTCACAGCAGACAAAGATACTGATACTGAAGACTTTAATAGTGAAGAATGAGTGTGATAAGAGTGAGATTATTGATAAGTAGACTCTGATCTCTCTTTTTACTTATATTTCAGAACTATATTAACTGAGCACTCTACAACGACCGCTCCACCACGAACTCGCTCGATTTTTCGAATAAGAACCCTCCGATAGATCCATCGAAAAGCCCTCGATCATACGAGCATTCTGACCCCATCGCCGACCGCATACCCTGTGTGGTGGTGGAGTTATCCAGCCAAACGTGAACCGGACGTTGTTCAAAACTCCTGTGTGGGAGTATCCCCCGTTCTCCCCTACCACACCACAACCCCGGGCCAAAGTGCCATACAAATTGTAAGGTGAAGAGACCTAGCCATATGCACCAATCTTCTCGATTTTGGAAGATCCCCGATCTGTAGTTGTGGAGATATCTGAGGAGCGACCTCCGCGAAAACCCTGTCCATCTTTGATGTTCCAAAACACCAACGCCAAGTCCCACCGTTGTACCGCCCTTCCTAATCTGGCCCATCCCCGGCAGAAAAATACAAAAAGATACCTCGGCGATAATATCAAGCACATAACCAACGGCCACTTCTGAAGTGCAACCTCCGCGGTCTGTCTTCAGTGTATCTGAACATCAACGCCAAGTCTCGCCCTCGTACCACCCCTCTCAATCTGGCCCATCCCCGACAGAAAAGTACAAAAAGATACCTCAGCAACTGTACTCAATACATAATCGGCAGACACGACAACTATAAAATCAGTATACCCCAAGGTCTGACTGAGCCTTTGATCCCTGCACAGTGAGATATATTAAATCTAGTTTTAATACCTCAATATTCAATAGATTCTGCAAGGGATTGAGAACAGCAACACTAGGTTTCTATTGAATTTGAGAATTAACTCTATATTGATATAATCATTGACAAAGTCTTCTATTTTGAGATATAAATAACCAGTTCCTCTACATCCCGCTGGCAATATTTATATTATTATATAGAAACAGACTTATATTCTCTATAATATCAAGACTCTGAAGAGGGAAAGTCTTGGTAGGGGGTATACAGTAGTGCATATCTTAGCAGTTTCTATCTCATTCTTCTGCAGCAGTTAATGCAAAAAAAAGATTTTAGAAATAGTTTTTTACTTCTCTTAAAAAAGTAAGGTGTTTTTCTCTGGGTTTTACACAATATTCTTACAAAGAATTAAAAACAGAGTTGTTTTCTGTCATAATTTCATATTCTTTTAAGTAAGAATTACTTTTTCAGTGGCTGAAGAGCTTTCATTAATACTTAATTCTTTTTTACACTCTTTATTAACTGATTTGAGTTGCACACCTGTTGTGCGAGGAGAATTGGATAATTTAGAATAAAATTGAATAGTTTTAATCAATTTCTCTTCAAAAAATTGATTTATTTTTTGTCAGTTTTTCTCTCAAAAACTGTCATATCATCTGATTTACTATCAATTGATATCATACTTTTCCTCACTGTATCCCAAGAAAGAGATTGTAAAGATTTTATTGATTTATCTTAAAAATCAATTTTAGTTTATTAGATTCTCTTCAAAAATCTAACCTAGTTACTGAACTAGTGTGAAAAAAATCAGGTGTTTTATACACAAAAGTCTGTGATTCTTCTTTTGAAATAGTCTGACCAACTTTTCAATTGAAAACAGACTTAGAAACCTCTTAATTGAAACAGTCTGACCAACTTTTCAATTCAAAAGAGTTTAATAAATATCTCAATTGAATTAGTCTGACCAACTTTTCATTGAGTAAGAACAATGAGTTCAAAAGTACACTCAGTTGATGTGGAAAAAGATGCTTTCTCAAATGCTATTCCTGAGATTGAAATTCTGAAGAGAAGAAAGAAAGAAGAGATAGAGAAACAACAAGTTCTTGAAATACAGGAACTTGAAAAAGCAAGTAAAATTCTTGGAAAGCAGTGTCTGAGTGAGATGAATGAAGAAGTTCTGTTAATTCTTCATGCTCAGGCTAGACAACTACAGGAAGTGATCAAGTTCAAACTTGGAATTTCAAACACAGTTCAAAAAACTTTGAAAATTTCTAATACAATCACTGACTCTTCAGTTTGCTCTTCTTTCTTTTCTACTTCTTCTTCTTCTCCTTCTTTGAATCAGAAGAAAACATATGCTCAAGCAGCTGAATCTGCTGTCTCTAAACCTGCTGTCTCTAAACCTACTGTCTCAAAACCTGCTCAAAATTCTGAGAAAACTGAGAAGAATACTGCTCATGCCTCTATTCATAGAAAAGTGGAAAAGAAAATGCAAAAAGAGAAAAACTTCCAAATCTCCAGAAATAGAAGACTTATTCTCAAAGTCTCAAATCAGGACATTCTGCAAAGAAACAAGCTAAACTCAAATCTCATTTTCAGAATCAGAAATGAAATTAACCAGCAGTTCTTTTCTCAGTTAATGACTGATATTGAAGTTCAAAAACCAGTTATAGCTTCAATTGAATCATCATTCTTTGAAAACTCCATCATTCTGACTACAATGCCTGAATTCAGTGCTGAATTCCTTATTCAGAATGAGAATCTCTGGAAGTCAGCAGTAGAATCTTTGTTAAACACAACAATTCTATCTGAAAGAGATGAAAAGTGGGACAAATTCATTCTTCATGATATTCCAGTTGAAATTTTTGACTGTGAAGAAGGAATGCTACTTCTCAAAAATGAATTGGAAGAATACAACTCTATTCAACTGAGAAAGGAGCCTGTATAACTAAATTCAATTGAGTTCAGACAAAGCAGGAGAAATGCCTCTGTTCTAGTATATACAAAAACACTTGAACAGTCAAAGATCTCTGAAGTAAGAGTAGCAGGTTTGAAAATGAGAGTTCATGAATACAAAGACTCAAGGATGAACCTCAAAGCTCAAACACAGTGTTCAAACTGTCAAAGATATGGACACTTTGCAATCTCATGTTTTAGAGACTCAAAATGTGCATTCTGTGCCAGAGATCACAAAACTAGTGAGCATAAATGTGAAACATGCTTAAAAAGAGGTGAAATTTGTCAACACACTCTGCTTAAGTGCTCTAATTGCAAAGAAAAACATGCATCTAGCTCAAAAGAATGTATGTTTGCTCCTAGAACTCAAAAGAACTGGAGAAAAGATGAAGCTCAAAGTCAATCTAGAACTGAAGAGAAGAGTCAAGCCAGTAAACTCACAACTGCAAGCTCAAAAAGAAGAAACTCTCAACTATCTAAGTCTTCAAACTCCAACTCTCCAGCTAAATGTAAACAGAACTTGAATCCTCAAACTCCTGTTAAGATTAGAGAATTGAGAAATGACTCTGATGATAAACTAGATATAATGCAAGCAGTTGAGATTCCTACTTTTCAGAACAGTTATAATCTACTATCTGATGATAGTGATTAGATTCTACTCTACTCTCTTTTAGTATGAATATACAACAAAAACAACAAAAAAAGTTTAAAAACTCTTCAAAAATCACATTTATTCAAAATAATGTGAATAGAAACTCAAATTGTATTTATTCTTGTCTTCAAATTGCATTTGAACAAAAAGTTGATTTTATACTGCTTCAGGAGCCGAATTTTGATGCTGAGCAAAAATATGTTATTTCTCATTCAAGCTACTACTGCTTTTTACCTCAAAAGTCTGAGATAAAGTCAAGAGTAGTGATCTATGGAAGAAAGAGATCAAGATATCAATTTAATCTAAGATTTGATATCATGTCTGACCCTGATATTCTGGTGGGTGATATTATAGATAAAGAAAATGAGTTTGATACTATACAGCTCATAAATATCTATAATGAAAAGTCATTGAAGAAAAATAACAATATCTGGACAATTGATAGAGGATTTCTGAACATAACTTCATCAAGAAAC